AATGGATAGGTTTGTTCTCCTTGCAGTCCAAGGGACTCTCAAGAGCCTCCTCCAGCACCACAATTCAAAAGCATCAGTTCTTCGGTGGTCAGCTTTCTTTATGATCCAGCTCTCTCTTCCATTACATCACGACTGGAAAAACCATAGCTTTGACTATGCGGACCTTTGTTGGCAAGATGATGTCTCTGCTTTCTAAGATGCTGTTGAGGTTTGTCATCGCTTGAACCATGGTTCTTCTAATGGTCCTCTGTGAATCCACACATCCCGTCCATCCTCCCCTCTGCCCGTCTCGTTGTCCTTGATATAAGCCTTGGACAGCGGCAGACTCTTATAGAAACTGAGGGGACCTTTGGAGGGCGGAGCATGCACTTCACAGAAGAACGTCCTACTAACCACATATCATTAAGCTCTAGAAACGTCCAAGACGTCCTGCACAGGTGAAGAAAAATCCTTTTGTTTCACTGAGGACCACTAGAAGAACCATGGTTACAAGTAGGTAACCTCTCTTTCCCTTATTTTAATATATGTTTGTATTTTGTTAAGGTCTCCTTTTCAAAAAAAAAAACTTGTGCTGAAGTTGCATGTAAAACTGTAGGTCCAAGGAAGTCTATTAAGACTGTGGAGGTTAGCTCTCAAGAGAACTTCCTTTTTCTGATCTTCCATGGTCTGAAAGCAAGTGGATAGGGTCCACAGGTAGGTAATGCATTCTTCTTGAAAAACTCACCCTTTACATATATAGAGTAGTGGAAGCAGATGAAGAGGAGGAGGGATGGTGGAAAACAAGCGTGCACCATCCTTGTGTGTTTATTTTAGGCAAGTTTAATAATGTAGGACACATAATAATGGGCTCAAGCTATAGGAAGCGAGATTTAGCCTGAATATCAGGAAAACCTTCTAGAGCAATATGAAATGGAACCAGTTACCTCAGGAGGTGGTGAGTGCTCTGGTGCTGGAGGCATTCAAGAGAATATTGGACAACAATATGTCAGATCTGCTTTGATTTGGATTCCTGCATAATATGAAAATGGAACCAGTTACCTCAGGAGGTGGTGAGTGCTCTGGTGCTGGAGGCATTCAAGAGAATATTGGACAACAATATGTCAGATCTGCTTTGATTTGGATTCCTGCATTGAGCAGAGGGTTGGGCTCAATACCTTTATAGGCCCTTTCCACTCAGTTATTCTATGATTCTAAAAGCTGAAGAGAGCTCAGATTGCCATGTTAACCTGTTCCAGTGGGTTACACATGAGGCTGCCTTTTGAAGTGCACAGCTACAAACAAGGACCAGAGACACTCATCAGTGGCCTAACTGGGAAATGGTGGGAATGGTGAAATCAAGAACCCCGGTGTTTTCCTTTAGAACAAAGCTGATTTTCAGTTCAACCAACCATGTTTATTATTTGTATTGAAAGCTGCCTTTCAAGTATTTGTGCCATAAATGTTATATATTCAGTCAATGTACCGCTCTTAATATCTTTCACTACCTAATTCTTTAAGCTCATGCTGAGATTGCTTTACTTCAGCATCTTATCTGTTTGTTAATTCTTGTTTTATGACACTTCATTTGGTTTGGAACACCAAACACCATATGTCTTTTGCCCTGAACATAAGAAGATGCAAAAAAACCACATTTCTTTTCTCCCCTTTATCTCTCCCCTCTTCACATACCGTATTTTTCCGTATATAAGATGCTACTTTTCCCTAAAATGTTCCTAAAAATTTGGGTACATCTTATACACAGAAGTAAGCTGAGAAAAGAACAAAATGGCACATACCTTGCCTCTGTAAACAGGCTTGCTTCAGTCACGAGGCTTAGCTTCCTACAGTCACAAGCCTTATGGAACTGATGTTAGCTGATGCTGTACAAACCAACTGGAACACACCTAGTTGGAGGTGGAGCCTGTAGGCAGTGCTGAGATTCAACAGGGACTAGTAGTGTCTGGGTGTTCTGAGCCCAGAGGCTGAATAGTCAAAGCTAAGTTTTCTTAATTTTGGGGTTAGAAAAGTGTGTAATAAGTCACTGTCTTATAAACAGGGAGTGGGGGGGTCTTATAAACAGGGATGTGTTATAAATGGAAAAATACGGTACATGTATACATACATGTACAGATGTTTCACATCATTAATTTTTCAGTCTGCTTCATTTGAAAGGTAATACTACATTAAATTCATCTTTAAGGTCTAATTGGTCTGCAAGATATCAGTATGGTTACTGATATGGACCTGAACTTAGTCAGTAGGCCCAGCTGAACTAAACCCATTTAATCACTTGCTGAATGGTGAGAACATTTATGTAATGTCCACTGATTCAATGGGTCTACCCTAGTTGGAGCTAACAATTGAACTCAGGTTCTGTTCCTACTGACAGAACATCTGGAGAAGGATGAGTCTGGATAGCAAGTATGTGTGACAGAATAAGATGAGACTGTTGTTTAAACTTTTGTTTTATTTTCTTTTAAATTGTGTGATTTTGGGTTAAGAATTCTAGAAGGTGTTTCATTTCCTCTAAATTTTTTAAACTGCAGGATGAAAACATTGACCCTTCCATATATTTGATAAAGTACTGATAAAACAATCCTTCAAACAAGTGTACTTAGTAGAGATGGGTTTTTTAAATACTGTATTTTTATACATATTCATATGTGTATACAAGTTGTATACAAATACCCACACACAGCTGGATGTAATGACTCACACGTCCTGCTGCAGCACTGATCCCACTCATCCTTCCAATTGCGCCTGGAGAACCGCTCCCTTCCTGCTCGGCTGGCGACTCCAGGCAGGGAGAGGAAGGACGAATACGAATACCTCCCCCCCATCTCTAGACTTAGAAGTAAGCTCTACTAGGTTCAATGGAACTTATAGGTAGAAGTGTGCAGAATTGCATTAGTAATTTGTCTATATACCATCTCTATGAGCCAGATAGGCACTCTGTTGAGTTATCCATCCAACCTGCAGAAATGCAGTGATTTGATTAGTATTTAAATATCTAAATCCTGGTTTCTTCCAGGGAGTCACAGCTTTGCTTTTGCTGGCGACAGGTGACCTCGTCATTGGCACTGGCACTGGAATTATAGCTCATTGTTCAGGATCCGGCTACAAAATAATCAAGTGAGTTTCTGAACATTCATAGATAAGGTTACGCGAGGTTTCACAACTTAGTTGTTGACATTGCAGAAATAGCAACTTATTCCACAAAATGGTAAAATGTTTGTTAAGTGTATGCGGGTGTGTTGTTGTTGTTTGGTTTGCACCTGTTGCAGTTAGACACTGCTGCACTGAATTTGACTGAGTTCAGTGTAATAGTGTTTGCTAGGATATTCTGCAGCCTCAGTTATTGTATTTAACAGGTAGTGAAGTATGATAAAATAATATCCCATTACAGTGGGGTCTTGACTTAAGAACGGCTTGAGTTAAGTACATTTTGACTTAAGAACTGCTCTCATAGGAAAATATTGACTTGACTTAAGTACTTAGATTTGAGTTAAGAACTGAAAAAAAACCCACGTGGGAGGCAGGGAAAGTGCAAAATTTGTGAATTTGACTGAGTTCAGTGTAATAGTGTTTGCTAGGATATTCTGCAGCCTCAGTTATTGTATTTAACAGGCAGTGAAGTATGATAAAATAATATCCCATATTTCTTCTGCTGGAAAAGTCGAGTCTTATTTAAGAAAAGACCGCTTTCCTTTATATCTGTTTCTAGGATATCTTGAAGCAGATTTTCAGGTGGACCATGAATGTGACATTTTGCTGCTGCTTTGTAAGCAAAATGGCTATGGAACAGAGAAACTGATCTGTACTAGAAATCAAAGTCTGTCAAGCCAGCTTCAAAACAGTGTTGTTGAAAAGGAGTTTTCACATGCAAATTGTTGCTTTTCTTTGCCAGCATCTAGTTCAAAATTCAATTCTAAAGTACAACTTTGTTAAAATTTATTAGTGTTATCCAGTTGTGCAAAAATAGAGGGGGCAGATCTAATTATTAATCTCAACAATGTTGAGTCTAATGTAAGTCCCATTGATTAAATAGATCTGTTCTGGCTGGATTTATCCTGTAATAATCACCAATTTTAGTTAAATTTAATGTTCTCAACATCTGTTTTCTGAATGTGACTGATCCTTTTTATTTAATATATAATGAAGTTGCATTAATATAGTACATTTCAGTGTTCTCTAATCTCTAAATATAAAACATGTCCTGATTTTTCCAAGGTCCTGCCACAAACCGTTAGTGAAAGAAGGATAAACTGCAAAAACAAAACAAAACAAAAACCTTGAAAAGCAAGGCATGGGAGGGAGGATTGGTTAGAATAGTAGTCTCTGTCAGTACAAAACTTTGCTTTGGCTTTATAGGAAAGTTCAGTTGCAAGGTGCCGTCACATCCATCACACCACGCGGGCAGGGTCACCAGTTTTTTGTGGGCACTGAAGAGTCGCAGATTTACAGGTTCTCATTTTCAGACTTCAAGGATGAGCTTATAGCTACCTGCCACAGTGAGGCCATCCATGACATCATTTTCCCTTTGTAAGTGTAATCCAAGTATTCTTCCTTTGCTACAGAAATGGAAAAAGCATTGTATGTTTGTGTACCAACAGCACTCTTAAACTTTGAGTCAAATTAGATTTCAATGAGGCCTAGCATGAACCCATTTTCTTTTGGACAACAGGATTGTCTCAGAAATATGTGCCTCAACAATCTGCCTTGCATATGATGCCTGTGTTTACCTTCTAGGGACCAATTAAAAAAATAAAACAAAATGCAATATATTTAGGTGGAGAAAACTATACGCCATGATAAACAGATAACCCTTCGTCATCTGAGGGGGTACCTTTTCTAAATATGTGCTAAGACAGTAATCCAGATTCAGCCCTTTCCTTTTGATTTACAAAAGCAGGCATTTTGTTATTGTTAATACAATTAACTAGGGAAACATAGTCATTCTGGATATTCCAAGAATTAGAGCAGCTAAGAACATAGTCGGATTTTTATTATTGTCTAGTACTTTTGTAGTCTTTCATTTTCCCTATTTCCTTATCATAGTTTCTCTAAATGCCAATATAACCTCTTGCTTTGGAATTTTGGATAAGGAACCCAGTATAGAAACCATACAGAGACTTACTTTAGTGCTCCTTCTTACCAGTGTTTTAAGACACATGCAAAAATTGGAAGAAATACACAATTTATTTTCTCAAGAAAAAGGCGAGCATACCTGTTAAAAGGACAATCCTACCAGCACCCCTTGAGTGTTTGACTGGTGGCAGTTCTTTATGTGTTTGGAACCAGACCAAGCCCACTGTTCCTGGTTGGGTTAGCTCTGTGCAAGAGAAGGATGTTGAAAGAATTCAACCCATTGTGAAAACAAAGAGGAAAAATAAGTTGGACATCTTGGTAATATGAGCTGGGAGAGGACCAAAAGTTTGGGTTCTCCAATGCCACTTTTGCTCACCAGAACTCACTTCCAAAATCTGCTTTGCCTTTTGATCTTTCAGCAAACCCTGTACTTCTGTTTTCTGACTTTGTATGCAATTATGATGACTAAACACTTACCCAATTATTTACCTAGTTGCAAATTCTGTACTGCAAGCAGATTTAAAAATAGTATTCACAAAAATATTACCAGCACACTTCATCTTCTTGCCCTGGAAGTAATGTTCTCATGAGACCTCCCTCGGAAGGAGCATTTAGGTGGGGAAGATTCCATTTCTAAGGTGCCCTTCAAACTTAGCCCCAACTTTATGAGAACTGTTTTTTTGCTAACAGGTCTCACACATTTGATGGCACCATAAAAACAAACTAACCAGGAGTACATAATTATGCTGGTTCTGTGGGGAACATGCCTAATTAGTGTTGTCATGTGTTTTGATTCATCCAGAAGTATTCTTCAGTTGTGTTCAATCCATTCATGGTAGAGCAGCTCACATGGTAGGGATTATATTCATTTAAATAACTTTTTTGTGTAAATATGATTGTTTCTTTCAATCTAAACAATTGCTAACATTGGCTGAAATCCTGTTGCTTAGTGTAATAAGTCACAACTAGAGTAGGCCCAGTTGAATTTATGGACGACTTGACTCATCAAATCATCATTGATTCAGTGGGCTTACTCTGGTTGTGACTTCCTACGCTAAGCAAAAGGACTTTAGCCATTGTCTTCAGAAACATCCATCCACATTAATGCCAATATGGTGTTTAAATGTGGTGGTTTCTTCCATTACATTCTGGGTATACCACATGCTATCCTGTCTGCCCAGGTTCCTCATTTGTTTGTATTCTCCTCATCAATAGGCAGAAAAATTATTACCTACTGACAATAGCAAGACCATGATGTTTCTTAAAGATGATAGTTCAGGTGCCCTTTCTGCAGATTGAGATTGACAGCTTGAGACATTTTCTGCTCTACATCCCTCAATCCCCCAAGGGAGTCCAACATACAGGATGTTTTAGACATGGGTAGGGGCAAGAATGTGTTAAGCACCATGTCTTGAAGAGAAGCCCTTTTGCCATCCTGATTAGTACCAGAAAATTGTTACTGTTGTCTACATCTGAGTTATCTGGTTCTAGTATGGTTCCAGCTTTATAGCTCCAGGACCACCTGGTAATGCTAGTAGACTAAGTTGCAAGAAAACAACCTTTATTGTGTTTCCTGGTGTACTAAAAGCTTCATATTATTTTCCTTCTCTCCCACTTCAAGTCTCCACCTATGATATTTGAACTCTCCTGCGCTCCACTTTAAGTGTACATTTTGGCTCAGCCTGCACTAAAAGTGGCTAGGTTTAATTCCCCAGTCTTGAACACTTTTGATCATTTGATCTGTCTGGATCATTTATTATCAACATGATTATAGGATTTGCTTACCATCTGCTTGTCATTTCCCCCCCAGAACAATAACATACAAAGAAGTTCTGAGTGAGTGGGATTCAGTGTCATAAGGCCCAGTAGCTCAGTTCTGGCATCTCATCAGGAGATTGAGATACACAATATGTTTGTTACACTGACCTTCCTAAACTGGATTCCCTTCCTCCAACAGTGGTACATCAGACTTGTTTGCCACCTGCTCCAAAAGTGACATCCGTGTTTGGTATACACCAGAAAATAGGGAACTCCTGCGGATTACAGTCCCCAACATGACATGCCATGCCATAGATTTCATGAGGGATGGCAAGAGCATCATTTCAGGTGAATGTATTTTGCATTGTCCTATTTACTGAGAAGTGATAGCCATTGTCAGTTGCTTTACATTTGTGATTGTGCCCCTGGTTGGACTGTTAAACCTTGCCCATAATTTGCTAAGATTTTTGAATACTTTAGCACTGTTGCGTTATGGTGAGGATTCAAGATTTGGGTGAACAAGCAGAGTGGATTCTGGTTCTGTAGTCTGATTTCATGGAAAACACAAGTTGTGCAGATTAATCTCTGCTGGTTTAACTCCTGCAACTGTTGCCTTTTCCCATTAATAATACTTAGGTTCATTTGCTGAAGAAAAATGTAATGCCTTCCATCCATTAGCTTTTTCCTTAAATGGAATTGGTGATCAAAGCCCTGGAAATTGGACAGTGGTGAGCTGTATGGTGAGATTGTAGACATTCTTGCACCAGCCTGCTACCTGACTATGATGCATTTAAATATATATATATGGGGGACTGGGAGAGAAATACTTTTGTCTTAGAAAGCATTTTCTATTTTCTATTAGCTTGGAATGATGGGAAAATCCGTGCTTTTACCCCAGAAACTGGACGGCTAATGTATGTGATAGAACATGCCCATAGCATGGGTGTGACAGCTGTGGCTACCACAAGTGACTGCAAAAGAATCATCAGTGGAGGAGGTGAAGGGCAGGTAATATGCTGTGAGGTTTCATGGGTGTATTCTGCTGATATCACCAGCATATTTTTTTCAATCACTTCTTCATTCAGTACAAAGTACTATTTGAACCACTGCAAATAGAGAGAACTTCTGTACCAGCTGGTGCCAACTACAACATAGTTATTTTTCATGAATAGCAGGCCACACATTTAGCCATATATCATCATGTGCTGCATTATTTATGTGACAAACATTCATATGGGAAGCAGATCCCAAAGCTTAAGAACAAGTCCCTGGCTTAAATATCATCTCAGTCATAAACCTTTTCAGATGGCCTTAGGCAAATTGCCCTGACTATAGTCCCCATTATAATATGGAGATAGTACAAGTCCAACTCTATTGGTTTGTCAAGGCTTGCTGAGATAAAATATTCTGAAGCACTTTGAATGCTTGCAGGGAAGGGGAGGCACAAAATAAATGCTGCTTTTGTTGGCTGCAGGTGAGGGTGTGGGAAGTTGGTAAAGAGACACGCAAACTGGAAGAGGTAATGAAGGAGCACATCTCTTCTATCTCATGCATCAAGATCAAGAAGAACAACCAAGAGTGTGTCACAGCCAGCATTGATGGAACATGCATTATCTGGGATCTTGTGTAAGGTCATTCTTGTTTGGAAGTGTCATTGTCCTAGCCATAGTTTGTGCTCATTTCTTCTTTACACTGCAGATGATATTGCAAAAACAACAACCAAAAAAGGAAGAAAGGCCACTGGTATTTCTGGGATAGGACTACATGTTTTCACATACCTCAGCAACTCAAGAGGTTTTAGTGCTTCCCAAATCACAGATCAGTACCTAAAAAACATAAATTATTGATGGAGGGGTTGGAATGTATCATATCTGATGGTAGACAACTTAAAAGAACCTGGGGGGGATTTCTTTTCCCCACTAGTCGCTTCATGAGGCGTCAGATGATCTTGGCCAACACCTTGTTCAAATGTGTGTGCTATCATCCAGATGAACACCAACTTATCACAAGTGGCACAGACCGGAAGGTGAGTAGCTGTGCGGGGTTAAAAGGAAGCACCTGGAGATGAGTCCAACAAGGCTGATCACCACCTAAGAAGGGCCCAGCAGTAAGTCTAAATATATCTCCAAGTAAATTTATGAAATAGACTTTGTGTTGTTATAAAAGGGAAACTTCAAACAGTTTTTCCACGTTGGATTTTCCTCTGCTTTGTAGATAGGTTACTGGGAGGTGTTTGATGGATCCCCAATCAGAGACCTTGAGGGCTCCCTCTCTGGTTCCATCAACGGGATGGATATCACATCAGATGGAACTTATTTTGTCACAGGTATGTTGAATGAATAGATGTTCTGCTTTCCATCTACAGAGATGCCCCCCTCATCATTTCTTAATATCTACTTTGCTGACAAGTTTTAGAACTGGAAATTGAGAGGTAGGTATCCCCTACAGACATCCAAGGAGGTGTAGTAGAATGGAGAAGAAAATAGAATTTAGCTTGAGAAAAGGTGGGAGGAGAGTGGAATTACAGTAAGCTTTGAAAGATGAAACTTTAAAAATGATCACTCTTCAAAGTTCCTGTTAAACTCCACTGTTACACTCAAGAAACAACACTTTTTTCATTTATTTCTGCCACAGCTTCCAAATGTGTTACTTTCACCCCACTCATTTTTCCAACTCTAGTTTCTTCATCCTTGCAGCTTAGGACTGCATCTGCTTTCAGTTCCTAGTTTTGTCTTATGTACTAATAGGATTTCTTCAAGAGAATAATAATTGTGTGGTGTCATCAATTCTGACTTACGGTAACCCTTTTCAGGGTTTTCCAGGTAGAGAATACTTATTCCCTTCCTTTGGGGCCACCCTGGGACTGTGCAGCTTGCTCAAGGCCACACAGGCTGGGTCTACTTGCAGGAGGCCCAGTGGAGAAATTGAACTCCCAACCCTCTGGCCTCACAGCCAGATTCCTAAACCACTGACCTATCTAGTCAGATACCTTCAAAAGATCACAGATCTTTCTATAACGATAGCACCAGGCACACACAAGAGGGGAGGTATCGGCAGAAAGCTCACGCTGTGTAATAGTATAAAGAATGCCTCAGAAAGAAACCAAAGCAGAGTGTGTCGTGGCATGTTCAATAGGCACAGAGCATTAAGTGGCTGGGGTGGGGGAGGGGAAGAAGTGAGGGGAATGTGAATGTAAGAAGAGTATTGTGGAGGAAGGCCTGACTGATTGAAACCCTGAACAGGAGCACTCCTCACAGCCACATTTGGTGTTCCTCTTCCTTTCTCTTTACAGTGGGGTCTTGACTTAAGAACAGCTCGAGTTAAGAACATCTTGACTTAAGAACCACTCTCATAGGAAAATATTGACTTGACTTACTTCTCTTTATTCCTGAAAGAGACTAGTGGCCGATTTACTCAGGGCCTCATATCCCTTTCTTCTCTCCACCACAGGAGGTGACGATCACCTTGTGAAAGTCTGGGACTATAACGAGGGTGAAGTGACTTTTGTTGGTGTTGGCCACAGTGGCAACATCACCCGTCTGAAGATCTGCCCTAACAACAAATATATTGTCAGTGTGAGTGCTGATGGTGCCATTCTTCGATGGAAGTACCCTCATACCCACTAATGACTCAGAGCAGTAGAAGTAGAGACTAATGGCCGATTTACTCAGGGCCTCATATCTCTTTCTTCTCTCCACCACAGGAGGTGACGATCACCTTGTGAAAGTCTGGGACTATAACGAGGGTGAAGTGACTTTTGTTGGTGTTGGCCACAGTGGCAACATCACCCGTCTGAAGATCTGCCCTAACAACAAATATATTGTCAGTGTGAGTGCTGATGGTGCCATTCTTCGATGGAAGTACCCTCATACCCACTAATGACTCAGAGCAGTAGAAGTACTTAAAAAATTGTGTAGAAATTTCCATTAATCGAAGCTTAGGAACTCTTCTTGCTTCTATGGAGATGCTGTTAAAAACAGTTTAATGAGAAATAGTGAGAAACCTATTATATTTGGCCACATAGCCAAGTGACCACTGTTTCCATGGGTTTCAGTTGGTGCTTCATCACGTGACACAGTCAGCCCTATTCCTGGCACATTTGTGTTTATGTTTTTGATGTACTCTGTTGGAACTGTCAGTTAAAATCATTTGTCCTGTCCTTTTCCTTCACAATGAATTTCTATGTTGTGTAAATCTGTGGTACTGTGTGCATCTTTCACTTTTACCTGCTGAAAAAGTCCAGAGGTTTAAAATCTTGTCCGTAATCCTACGCCTGGAAATGTTCTCAAAAATGTGTCATATTTGGGGCTGCAGGACATCAATGACAGCGGTTTTTGGCATGAAAGGAGCAGTGAGAAGTTTTTGATGCAATAGTTAGAGCCTAGTTCCTTCTGACTCTATATAGGTTGCATTAACTGGCAGTGACACTCAATGTTCAGAGGCAGGAGTCTCTCTCAACCCTTCCTGGAATCTCCTGCAAGACAAATGTACTGAAGCACTGAGCTGTGTCACTTCTCCCTGGATAAGTTTATTATCCAGCCTCCTCCTCAAAATTTCTGGGGAAATCAAATCCATTGTTTCCCACTAACCCCCCTTTTTCATTTATCAATCATTGCTATATACATTTATTGTAACTATAATCCTTAACAGTGATTATTAGGAAGCTTTCTGTGCTATCTTAAAGGTATACCACTTGGATCTTGTATATTTGATTTAGAAACCCAGACTAAATAGGAGACTGGAATGACATTTGCTGCCACGGGGAGCATTTCAGACTTGTGTGATTAGGCACTAAGCAGCACATTCCGGTGGATGTTCACTGAGAAATAATCCCCACTCTATTCAATGGGATATAGTCCTGAAGTAAATGTGTTTGGGATGGCAGCCTGAGCTATCCAGAGACCTGAGACTGCATTTGACTATGGAACTCTAGTAATAATTCTGGAAGTGACACATGGCCCAGAATCTTGTTGCACAACTTTATGCCAAACAACTATTATAATAGCACCAGCTGCAGCCATTTTGGAGAGAATTAAAGGTTTCCTATTTCTCCTCGGGTACCAGAGATCCTTAGGGAACCCTTAAATCCTTCCCCTTTTCCCTTTTCTTTTCCTCTTCATTCTCACTTAGTGGCCCCAGAACAGCATGGAGTCAGGCTAAGGACTGCCAGCTGCCCATCTGTGATCCATCCTGTTTATGTATTATGCTTCTGATAGATACTATGTTTGGTCCTGTATCATCATGGAGCATGCCATTTGACATCCAGACAACAGGTGATCTCTTTAGACTGAGAGCCACTGTTCCAGAACCATTTAGTTCTGCCTGCAGTGGTCCCATGAATTACAGATAATCCCGTATCACAACCAGTAACTCAGGGACAAATGGTAACAGATAATATCACATAAGAAATTGATGTATGAGGAGTGTTGCATGGCGTATTTGCTAGGTTTTAATATGGAGCAGAGTGTCCTGGGGTATCACAATGTCTAAAACTATGTGTAAGTAGGTCTAGTAACATTGCTTGAGGATTTCTCCAGGTGGGTAGAGTCCAGCATCTCACCAATGCAATGTGTTTTCATAGAACTACTTTATAGTGGCTACCACTGTTCTTCACTGCTCGGGAAAGTGTCATTAGCTGTGGGAATGAGTTGGTTCCAAGGGCACAGTCTGAACAGGCAAATTAAGCTGCAGTGTGTGCTTGCTTTACTGCTAATCCTACCCAAGAAGCCAGGGGAAGAGGGGGATGGGATATAGGAGACTATCCAGAGCAAGCATTAGAGCAAGAAGCCAAATAATGCCATATCCTGATTTGGAATGGGATTAAAAAGTCTGCTTAATGACATACTGGGTATCTTCTGTGACAGGGATGGAAAGGAGGTGGTTTTGAATCTGCTGGTAGATCTTTCGATGTATACCAGCAAGGATTTCTGATTCTCATTTGTTAAAACAATAGTAGCAATAAAACAACACACACCCTGGTTCTAAACAAGCTGTACCGGTGAGAGCGAGAAAGCTTGAGGTAACAAGGAGTGTTTTTTTGTGTAGAAGGACCTTGAGCTCATTCAGTTCTGCTACTCAGAACCAATAACTGGGTTCAGAATTCCCATATTATAAGTGCATGGCTTTTGCATGAAGCTCCAGTTAGTAGAGTTGAGGGATATTAAAAACAAACACTTGTCTCTCTTCTGAGATGGCAAGAACTAACCTGCAGTGCTGCTAATGGGTCAATTTGCATTCCCTTGGCATCCACACATCCTGTTTCTCATTTTCCCACAAGTGGCTGCCTGTGAGTAGTTGGATATATTACTCCGAGTCCAGTTTAGACAAGGAGCCTGTCTCCAGTTTCCTGAGAAATATTGTTCAACTCTAGTGAGAGATTGTGAGCCTACTCTTTTGGACCTGGGAGGCGTTCACGGCGCTCCCTGCTAGCTGAGCAGTTCCCATTTTCAAAGACTCAGCCATCTCGCAGCAACCTTCAAAACAGTTCTTATGCATAGCCTGTCCTCCTGTGCAGCAGCACATACATTAAACACAGTGGGGTCTGCCTCTCATTTGGTTCCAAACAATACGTTGACAGCTTTCACCCCATTGGTACAGTTCCAGAGAATAGCTTTTCTTTTCCACAGTCACAGTGGGGGAATGCCTGGTAACTTTCTCTGGGTGTAAGAGGCTTCCTGCCTCTGACTGGGTTTTAAATGGCAAATGGTAAAAGGGCAGAAGTCAGATGCATGCTGCTTTATTTTTCCCTTGCTCTTTGCCCAGGAGCATTTAGGTGATGACAAGGACATGGCCAGCGTTTCCCTTCCCGCACAAGTCTGGAAATGGGCAAAGTGCACCCCTCCAGGCCAGACCGCCAGTGGCGAGTATAGCAAGTGGTAGAGGATGCTGGCAGCTGCAGGCCAGCAATGCCTGGAGGGCCACCTTTTGTATATAATTTTGTTCCTGCACATGCGGGAAATGAACCTATCGTATCATGTAAAGTACAAGCAGGGATAAAACTGTCCAGGCTATACTTCAGGCTATAGACATGATGGTGGAAGGGATATGGTGGCGGAAGGGACATGGTGGCCCTGCAGGTTAAATCACAGAAGCCTTTGTGCTACAAGGTCAGAAGACCTGCACTCGTAAGATCGAATCCACACAACCAAATGAGCCCCCATCGCTTGTCCCAGCTCCTGCCAACCTAGCACTTTGAAAGCATGCAAAATGCAAAAATGCGAGTAGATAGATAGGTACCACCATGGTGGGAAGGAAACAGCATTCTGTGTCTAGTCACACTGGCCACGTGACCACAGAAGATTGTCTTTGGAACATACACTAGCTCTGTGAGTTGGAAATGGAGATGAGCACCACCACTAGAGTGAGACATGACTGGACAAATTGTCAAGGGGAACCTTTACCTTTACCACTATAGGCGGGTACCTCGTTCACCAAGAAAAATATGGATCGGGGAGAGGGTTTTAGCCTCATCTATCCATTGATAGAATCGTTTTTCTTTTTAAAATATGTCTATCACTAGATATGGAGGGGAGTAGGCTGGCCGCAGCTGCAGGGGAATGTTATACAATATTCATAGTTTAATGACTGAACCATCAAATGTCTTTCCTCTACAAGTAAGTTCCCACTTTCATACATCAGGCAGACAGACATGGATGTCATGTTATGTCACATCACCTCAAGCAAGAGTTTGGTGGAGGTGTTTACACCTTCAGTTCCATGTGTGAATCAGCCCTGATGTTCATATTTTTAGCTCTGGGCCTTCTGCCTCCGTATGTCTTGTTGTCCTCATCCATTACCCAGCCACATCCCTCACAACAGCATCACCTTTCTAGCAAATGGGATTCACTTGATCTCCAGAGCTAACACAGTGGAGAGAGAGCTGCACAGAAGGATCTCCCGTTAGTACTCTTTTTGCTACAGCAGAGTTGATTCTCAACACCAAGATTTATTGGCTAGTTGTTCTGCAGGAAAATGGGAAAAGCAAAGATGGGGATTGGGCTCCTTGATTATATTGGTCTAACACGATAGTTTCTCCCCACTGCTGTCCTGTATTTGTTGCTTCCACATAATCTTGGCTGGAAAGCCACACCATGGTGATTTATTCTGTAAATTTGGGATTGAACCCAATAAAGGAAGAAAGCTATAGGGGTCTTGTGATTAATGGTACTGGCCAGTGTATCCACTAGAGGGCAGGCAAATACTTTTCCACTCCAGGTGGAAAAAGTTCAGGTTTGGATTTTTACATAGTAAGTTTCCTCCGTTTTAAACAAGCTGCTTTGTAAAATCAATTTCCTTTGGGAAATCCCTGGTAGCAATTATTGTGGTATAAATCAGGCTGGCACTTGGCTGCTTCAAGATCAAGATCTCTTTGTATGGAGATTTAGAAGGTTTCATTAATTGGATTCGTAGTATCTGTGGTGTGAAACGTGCTTCACAATAGAGCCACCCATGTACCTCTTGTAATGGATAGTCACTACTACCATTCTCATTTTTTTTCAAATGAGGAACTGAGGCTGAGAGATAGTGGGCTGTCCAAATCTGGAGACACACGGAAAAGACCATACTGTCTCTTTAAAGATTTTTCTTTCTGCAAATGATACACTTTCTCTTATCCCAAACATCTGCCAGAGTGCATATGTT